AGGAAGAACTTCTTCACAGTTCGAGTGGCCAAGGTCTGGAACGGGCTCCCAAGGCAGGTGGTGCTCTCCCCTACCCTGGGGGTCCTCAAGAGGAGGTTGGATATGCATCTAGCTGGGGTCATACAGACTCAGCGCTCTTTCCTGCCTATGCAGGGGGTCGGATTCGATGATCTATTGAGGTCCCTTCCGACCCTAACATCTATGAATCTATGAATCTATGAAATTGGCTGGGTCGTAATACATTGGTTAATTGGTGTTAAGGACACATGGATTATATACTTTTTCAGTAGAACTGTGTCTGATTTACACCAACAGGAGAGAGGAACTGAGCCCACTGTATTCTCATCAGGTTCTTGGGCCAAATTCTTTGGAGAAAACTCAGCAGAGGGCACTGGAGTGTGCCCCTCAAGGCTTGTCCAGTTACACCCAGGGGGAATTTTGTCCCTTGTCTTTATTCAAACTGATGTAACTGGAGCACATGGTGCTCTCACATGTACTTTACACCCCGGTTATTTTATTAGTGTCAATGGAATCGGTCCTGATTTACACCATTGTAAATGAGAGCAGAATTTGGCCCTTTTTCATAAACATACATGATCCCCTGCCACTATAAGGAAAGGAACTGGGGGAAAGTGATCTTTTAGCTTGGGAAACTGAGGAGAGCCCTTTGGCTCTGTATTAGGTAGGCGAGAGAGATGGGTTAGATATGATCCCTCCATGCTATCTCTGTAGCAATCATTGCTAAGGCATCTAAGCACATTAGAGACTTAGCAAGTCAGTCAAGTGATCCAATCCTCTCCCTTTCACCCTTGCAAAGGAAATAAACATGGGGCTGCTGTCTTTACAAGAAAGGTAAAATAAAATGTGCTGGTCTTCCTCCCCTTTCTATTTAGAAATACATGTATGATCTTTCCTGGAAGTTTCTGTGAAAAATGAAAAACTAGTAATAGAGATGGGGGGAAATTATTTAGAGAGTTTTTGTTTTGGTTTAACTATCTGATTATAATGCCTAATGTACATTTTGGAGAAAAAGTGTTTTTGTTACAGTGTCCACACACATCAGTTGCAGCAGCATTTCTCAATCTGTGGGTCACAAAAATATTTCAAAGGGTCTCAAGCTGCAGCAGGGCAGAGGGGCAATGGGAAGGTACCTGTCCCTTCCAGTGGGGGAAGGGGACAGGGAAGAGCTGAGTGGCTGGGCTGATGGCACTGGGCTAATGCCTGTATTCACATGGGCAGGGTGGCCAGGAGATGCTGCTCAGGGGTCAGGAGGGGTCATGCCCAGGCTGCCTGGTGCAATGCAGCAGCACCAGCCCAGGGTAGAGGGGTGCC